TGCTAAGCATTTGAGGTGTAAAATTTGAAATTAAAAAAAATAAAAAATAAAAATTTGATTCCTGACCGCCAAGTACCCACTGCCTAAAAATCTTATGTGAATATTTTTCAATATCCGCTATTTTTGAAAGCATTTCTTTGAACCCCTCACGGTTTCATGGAAAGGAAATTCTGGAATAAAATCAGACACTGGAATTTTTGTTAGGATGTGTTTGAGAATATTTTTACAAAGTCCACGATTTTTAAATATAAAGACTTTAAAAACAACCCTTATTAAAGTCCACAATTTTTTTTATACCCTCCACCATACTATGGAGGGTATATTAATTTTGTCATTCCGTTTGTAACTCCTCGAAATACTCATGGCAGACCCAAAAAAGTATATATATTCTTGATCAGCGTAAAATTCTAAGACGATTTAGCCATGTCCGTCTATCTGTCTGTCTGTAGGTCTGTCTATCCCTCTGTCTGTCTGTCTGTCTGTTGTAATCACGCTATCTTTCGAACAAATTGAGATAGAAGGCTAAAATTTTGCACACATGTATATTTTGCCAGTAGGCAGGTTAAGTTCGTAAATGGGCCAGGTAGTTCCAAGTTATCATATAGCCCCCATATAACGGTACCTCCCGATATTCGGTATTTTGATGATTTTAGCGACATTATTCATCGGAATTGTTTCAAATTTGGCATTTGAAGTTCGTAAGGGATACTACAGCCTAGGACAGAAAATTATCTGTGCAGGTCCACGTCTTCGTATAGGCCCCATATAATGGTACCCCCCGATATTCGGTATTTTGATGATTTTAGCGACATTATTTACCGGAATCGTTTCAAATTTGGATAATGGATACTACATCGTAAGTCAAAAAATGAGCTATGTAGGTCCACGTCTTCATATAGCCCCCATATAACGGTACCTCCCGATATTCGGTATTTTGATGATTTTAGCGTCTTTATTAACCACAATTTTTTCAAATTACGCATTTAGAGTTCGTAATGGAAACTCCAGTCTGTGACAGAAAATTGTCTATGCAGGTTCAGGTCTTCGTATAGGCCCCATATACCAGTACCTCCCTATATTCGGTATTTTGACGAGTTTAGGTACAATACTCACCGAAATTGTTTGAAATTTCGTATTTGAAGTTCGTAATGGATGCTACAAAATATGACAAAAAATTGTCTACGCAGGTTCAGGTCTTCGAACAGCTACGATATAACGGTACCTCTATATTCTATATTTTGATCATCGTTTATTTCAAGTTCCGAATTTGAATTTGGTAATGACTTATGACAAATAATGCCCGTGTGGGTCCACGTCATATAGGCACCAATATAACGGCAATAGTCGGTATTTTTAAAATTTTACCAAAGTTTTTTTCAGGATTTTATTTCCAAATTCGTTCCAAATGGTGGAGGGTATTCAAAGTTCGGCCCGGCCGAACTTACTGCTTTTTAACTTGTTGAATTTAAACTTTCAATTTTTCAGGATTTCAACTCTATTCCTTCACCCAATATTAAATTCAGTACTATTTAATACTTTTCGAACAATACACATTTTCAAAACCACCTCCATTCGAACAGAGACCTCATTATCAAATTTGAGGATTTCAGCTCTATTTGTTCACTCAATACACAATTTAGTATCACTTAGTACTTTTCGAACAATTATATTACGCATTTGCATAACAACCTCAATATCACCAAATATCAAATGTAGCACCATTCTGTACTTTTCGTACAATTATAGCACACATTTCTAAAACCAAATCTATCACCAACAGGGACCCCAATATATTATTTCAATAATCCAGCTTCACCCTAAACCAGACTGTTTCAAATTTAGTACCACTTAGTACAGTTCGAAATTTTGAGAATTTTGTAGGGAGGTGCCGGAAGGAGTGGATCGATATATTCCATCTTCACAGCAGATCTTGTGTTTGTAAAAATAATGGGATGTGTGAAATATAATTTTATGATCGACTTAGTTATTCAAAATGCTAACCCCTTGTGAGAGAGGTACCAGAAGAAATGATCCGATTTCTACCATCTTTATAACAGATCTTGTGTTGATACAAATATTGAGATTTGAAAATTTTGAACAGAATCGGATGTTATTTTTGAGTTTTATAAGTTTCATGGATATTTACAATTTTGACCTTTTGTGGGGGAGGTACTATATGGAATTTTCCGATCTCTACCATCTGTATAACAGATCTTGTGTTGATAAAAATATAGAGATGTGCGATGTCTGAGTGGAATCGAATTTTAACCCTGTGTTTTATGAGAATATTCAAAATTCTGACCCTTTGTGTGGGAGGTACAAGAAGGAGTGGACCGATATATTCCGTCTTAATACCAGATCTTGGGTTCGTAAAGATATTAGGATGTGTGAAATTTGAAGACAATCGGACTCTTGCATCACATTTTATAAGAGTTGTGATTATTCAAAATTTTGAACCTTTGTGGGAGAGGCACGTGATGGAGTGTACCGATATTATCCATTTTCGCACCTGACCTATCACTGACGCAAATATTCGAATTTGCAAAGTTGGAGCAAAATCGGATTATAGTATATCTTTCTGTGCAGAAAAAATATTTTGTTGAAAATTTTGAGGTTTTGTGCGGGAGGTACCAGAAGGGGAGGACCGATACTGCCCATCTCCGAACTTGATCTAAGATTGACAATAATATTACGATGTACCTAATTTGGATCAAATCGGCTACTCCCTTTAAGAGATATCAGACGGACATCGCTAGATCGACTCCGAATGTCCTGAAACGGATTTGGTCCAAAGAGACCTAGGGTTTAAAACCGTTATTTCGATGAGGCACGTTTTGGCCCTAATAAATGATATATACGCTCTGTGGCCATATGGCTGAGGCATAATAACAAGTAAAAAAGTAGCTAAGTTCGGCCGGGCCGGACTTTTAATACCCTAAACCATTTTGAAGGATCTTGGAGGAGGAAGGATTTGAAAAAATAAAAAAAATCCGTCGAAAAATACCACTTAATAAGGTTATATGGGGGCTATACGAAGACGTGGACCTGTATAAATATTGTTTTGTCATAGGCTACCAATTCCGATCTTTAAATATGACATTTGAAATAATTCTGTTGAATAATGTCGCTAATATCATCAAAATACCGAATTTTCGGAGGTACCGTTGTATGAGGCTATACGATATCGTACCATATACACACTTCACACTTCCACACGAAGACATGGACCTGTATAAATAATTTTTTGTCATAGGCTGTAGTATCGATTCCGATCTTTAAATATCACATTTGAAATAATTTTGTTGAATAATATCATCAAAATACCGAATTTTGGGAGGTACCCCCCTTATATTGGGGGCTATACGAAATCGTGTACCTATAAAGACAATTCTCTTCCAGGGGGGTAATGCACTCAGAAGACACGCCTTGTGTGGATTTGTAGATGATTCCACTGAAAAATTCAAAATACCGAATATTGGAGGGTACCGTTATATACGGGCTATACAATATCGTGGACGTATATAGGCCATTCTCCATTCGATGTCGTGAACCTATATAGACAATCCTCTTCCAGGGGGTACTCCTTGTGTGGCATTTCAGACAATTCCATTGGAAAATGTGCCTAAAATCATCAAAATACCGAATATTGGGACGTACCGTTATATGGTGGGAGCGTTATAGCCCATCTTTGAACTCGACCTGATCCAAAGCGACCTAGGGTCTAAAACCATTATTACGAGGAGCCATGTTTTGGCCGTATCAAAAGATATATACCCTCTCTAACCATATGGCTGAGGGTATAATAAATAACACATTTTATCCTTGACCCTTAATTTTTTGCATTATTTTTTAAAAAAAATATTCTAAAAATATATTTATTCAATATTTGTATTTTTTTGCGAAATGGCAAACTCATTTGGGGTAATTAAAATTTTTGAAATATTTTATTAAAAAACGAAGATCCAAAGCCTCTTTTATTCTAAATGGTCATCGGCAAGTCAGCTGTGCATTAACTTAAACTCTTGATTATTCCGACTTATTCGCTAATAAGCTACTAAAACCGTGAACGCCAAGCCAACATGTTCTCTGTCACAAATGCGGCGGCCAGGCAAAGTTGCCGATAAAACCACAACAAACCAAGTCAATCGAAATACATGCCAATAAAAAAAATACAAAAAAAAAAAATCAAAATAAAAAAACTCAAAGAAATACAAAAATAAAACCGGCTATGAACCACCAGAAAACAAAATCAATGAATTAAATAAAAACAAATTAAAACTCAAAAAGTACCAACAACACACAAATAAAAATTTGCCAAAAAAATATTATCCAAAAAAAAAAAAAAAAAAAGAAAAAATATTCTCAGAAAAGAGAGAGACGAGAAACCAAAACAGAGAAGCCAAAATCAAAACAAAATAAATTTGCAAAAAAAAAAAATTAAAAAAAAAATAATTTCCAATCTATAAAACGTTTAATTTTTGTGGTTCTCTTTATTTTTTTGCAGCCAACAAAAAAAAAAAACTGGTCTCAAGAATTTTACAAAGTGAACAAACTACAACAACAACAGCAATAACTATCATATAGTGGCTAGAAATAATAACAACAATAACATATTAACTTAACTGCAAATTAGACTAAACAATTTTAAGAAAAACTGAAAAAGTTTCAATATTTTTTATTCTTCGTCTTCTGATATCGAAACCCAAACACCCAGCCGTGATATACATTAAAGTGGACTTGAAAAAGCAACAGAACAACAACAACAACAACACCCATACATTCAACTCCAGCAATAACCTTAGTCCAAGCACCCATATTCTTGTTGTAGTACAAAAATAACAGCAACAACAACATGAGGTCGGCCTTTAAGGCCAACGTTGCAATGAAAGCAACGGCGGCAGCAGCAGCTCCACATGGAGGAGGTGCTGTTTCTGCAATCAGCAACAGTTTGAAGAATATGACAAAAAACGAGAACAGGTTCTTGGCTAGCAATAACAACAACAACACCAAAACCAACAACAACAACAACAACAACAACAACATCTGCAGCAATATTAATTCCAGTGCAAATAACAGAAGCCAACAAAAGAAACAACAAAACATCAGTAACAACGACAAGAACAATAAAACAGCAAAGAACAGCAAAGATCATGTAATGCAAAAAGCAACAACAACAACAACAACAACATATTCTGCCAGTTCATCTTCATCTTGGTCACCCAAAAGGCCAACGAATTCTACACTGGCCAGAACAACATCATCATCATCATCATCGCCGTCATCAACGCCGTTGTCGTTCTCGTCGTCACCCTTGTTGTTTTTGTCAACGGCATTGTTATCTTTGTTGGGTTCTTCAACAACGTCATCATCATCGGCTACAACATCATCATCGTCATCACGTTTGTCTTCATCATCATCGCCTTCGTCCTCATCTATGACCGTTGCTCTTCTATTGATCGTCTGCATTCTAAACAGCCACGTTGTTGTTGGCGTTACAACAACGGGCGCTGTCCGTCCCGGCACCGGCAATCCCTCGGCACGTCTGCCACGTACCAGTGCCAGCCAGCTGAATAGCGGTAATACGACCGGCAACAGCAATGCCTACAAGTTGGCAGCCAAATCGCTGAACAACAACAACACCAACAATCGCAATGGCAATTTACGCACAAGGTGAGTGATGGAGCGGAGTGACTTGTTGTTTTTGTTTATTTGTTTTTTTCAAGTTTTTGTTGTAATTTTATAAACCAGAGTCTAATAGTGTGAGGCTACTTTTGGAGATGAATTCTTGAAGTTTGGTTTTTTAATGAAATCAAGAAAAAAAGAAGATGTTACATTGGGGTGGGGTGAGACCCCTTGAGGATCTTTTTTGGATGGAGGGCATATTAATGTCTAACATACTGGTTTGTGGGTCTTAATGGTCTACTACAGATATAATTTTTTGAGACCCTCCGTCATTTCGTTTGTAACTCATCGAAATAATAAGACCGGACAAAGTTTATACATTCTTGATCAGCGTAAAATTCTAAGATGGTGTAGCGCGGTCCGTCCACCCGTCCGTCTGTTTGAATCAAGCTAGAGTCAAAACAAATAAAGATAGGAAGCTACTATTTTGCACCGACCTGTCTTTTGTTTGCAGGCAAGTCAAGTTCGGAGATGGACTATATCGGTCCACTATATATTTCAATGGAATTGGTTGAAATTCTACACAAGGAGTACTCTGTGAGTACTTTACCCCCTGCAAGATAATTGTCTATGTAGGTCCACGATATCGTATAGCTCCCATATCCGTTATTCGATATTTTGATAATTTTAACCACATTTTTCGATGGAATTGGCTGAAATTCTACGCAAAGAATTCTTCGTGACTACTTTATCTCCTAACAAGGATAGACTGTAATAGTCCGCAAAATCGTATATTCTCCATATAATATTCGGTATTTTGATGATTCTAGTCACACTTTCCAATGACATTGCCTCAAAATTCACACAAGGAGTTCCCTCTGAGTACCCAACCCCCTAAAAGAGAATTGTCTATATAGGTCCACGATATCGCATATCCCCCATATAACTGTACCTCCCTATATTCGATATTTTGATGATTTTAGTCACACTTTGGCATTGTCCGAAATTCTACTCAAGGAGTTATATGTGAGTACTTTACCTACTAAAAGAGAATTTTCTTTATAGGTCCATCATATCGTATAGCCCCCATACAATGATGCCCCTCGATATTCGGTATTTTGACGATTTTAGCCATATTTTTCAGTGGAATGGTCTGAAAATACACACAAGGAGTTCATTCTGAATACTTTACCCCCCCTGGAAGGGAATTGTCTATATGGGTCTACGTTTTTGAATAGCAGGATTTTCTTGACATTATTTGCCGGATTTGCGTTAAATTACATATTTCAAGTTCGGAATCGTTACTACAGCCTATCACAAAAATGTGTTTATCCAGCCTTCGTATAGCCTCCATATAAAGGTTTTCATTTGAGCGGTACTTCTCGACGGATTTTTTTTAAGTTTTAAATTCCTTCCGAATAATGGAGGTCCTAAAACTTAGCTACTTTTTATATCCTCAGCCGCATGGCTACATAGCCAAAACGTGTCTCATCGAAATGACGGTTTTAGACCCTAGGTCTCTTTGGACCAAATACGTTTCAGGACATTTGGAATCAATCTAGCGATGTCCGTCCGTCTGTCTGGCTCGAATGGAGTTTCCGATTTGGTCCAAACTTGGTATATCGTAATATTTTTGTCAAATTTACATCGAGTTCGGAGATGGGAAATATCCGTCCACTTCTTCTGGTACCTCCACCACAAAATGACAATATTTTCAAAGAAAGAAAGAGAAAGGATAATCCGATTTTGCTCCATCTTTGCAAATCCTAATATTTGCATCAGTGCTAAGTCAGGTGTGAAAATGGATAATATCGGACTGCTCCATCAAGTTCTTACCCCACAAAGGGTCAAAATTTTTAATAATTATAACTATTATAAAATGTGATGTAAGAGTCTGATTGCCTTTAAATTTCACAAGTCCCACTATTTTTATTAACCCCAGGTCTGGTGTATAGATCTACTCCTACTGGTACCTTTCCCACAAAAGGTGAACATTTTGAATAAACAAAACGATCATAAAATCCTTAATAAGCATCCGGTTCTCTTCACATTTTCCATTTTCATTCCATTCTTACTACTAACAGAAGATCTGCTATGAAGATGGGATATATCTGCTACCTCCCCAACAAAGGGTCAAAATTTAGAGCATCCATGGAGCTCATAAGACTGGAAATTAACATCCGATTCCATTCAGACTTGGCATGTCTCAATATTTCCAACAACACAAGATTTGTTATAAAGATGCTGAGATCGGACCATTCTTTTTGGTACCTCCCCCACAAAGGGTCAAAGTTTTGAATAACAAAAACGATCATAAAATCCGAAATAAGCATCTGTTTTTTTTTTCATATTTCACACATTCCATTATTTCTACTAACACAAGATCTGCTGTAAGGATGGGATATATCGATCCACTCATTTTGTTACCTCCCCACCGAGGATCAAAATTTTGAATATCCATAAAGCCCATAAAACGTGTAATTAACATCCGATTCTATTTGGACTTGGTTCCATCTCAATATTTTTCTCAACACAACATCTGCTATAAAGATGGTAGAGATCGGACCATTCATTCCGATACCAACCCACATAGGATTCAAGATTTCGAAAAAAAAATCCTGAGCCAGAAACCTGACATGAATATGAAATTTATGATTTCGCATTAAATTTGATATAAATATTCGATTTTCTTGTAACCTTGGCCGTACCAGTATTTATATCTGTATTAGATGAAGTATGAAAGTGGAATACTTCGGTCGGTCCACTTTTTGGAATCCATAAATTATTAAATATCTCATATAAAGTGAAGGAAGTATAGTCGAAACTTGGCACGTCGCAATATTTATAGCATATTTATTTAAGTCCGATACGATATGGACAACATTGGTCCATGCCTTCGGAACCTACTCCATAGATGTTCAAGAATTTGAATAATGATAAGGCAAATCAAAATATATTTAAAGTAATCAAACTTTGACAAATTTCCCTTAGGTGTTATTTCTGTGGCATACTTCACACAATTTTTTTCTTATGGTCCTTATAAAGGTAGTACCTATTAAATTTTATGCATCGAAATCCTTTTAAAGGACATCTGGGTTAAGACTGTTACTTGATAGGTATGTAATTTCTACAAGACCTTAAAATGTCGTTTATATAAGGATAACCTAATAAATCCATGACTTTTTGATTTAGAGATCTTGATAAGGTATTTTAAGTGCAAAGGATGTATTTTAGACTTTTTTTTGGGTATATGAGACCTTTGAAGCTATTCTAGATATGGAAAACCTCTTAAATGACTTCTTTAATTATGAGTAGTAGTGCGATGATTAACATAAATAAAGCGTCTGTGGGGCGTATACGTTTTATTAATGAACTTTCAACTGTGACGTATACGTTATATTATTTATTTTATTACTGAACTATTTTGCAACAACAAAATAACTGCGGTATCCCAAACAAAAATGCCAACGTTGTTTTTTATCACATTTTTTGATTTTCAACATCTTCTGCTTCGATCCACCCCAATATTGCCATCATCGCCAATTCTTCAAATTCTCACTCAGTTGCGTTTGTTATCTCAACAATGCTTTTGCAATCATCTTTATTGTTTATTGTTGTTGTGTCTTGAAAGTGTAATGGCATCTTCTGTTGTTGTTCTGGTTGGACGTTGTGCCTGCCACGAGTTGGCCACTGCCATTCATTGCCAAAAAAGGAAATTAAGTTAGACATGGCGGCTTATTTTTGGATAATTGTTTAAAAGTGCCAATGATTAATTGTTTTTCGACTGGGGTGTAGAAAACTTTTGAGTGGAGAAGGGGAGAAGAATTTGGAGATTTTGCGTAATATCGAAGATATCTGAGAAGAATTTAGAAGTTTATAAGGGAGTGAGACATCTGCAAAATAGGATGATCTGAGGATGGTTTCCTGTCTATAAATGACCTGGGGCACGTTCTCTATCTATATAAGACCGTTGGAGACGCATTTGTCTTTTAAATACTTTGAAACTTTAAATTTATGGAAGACCTGGAGAAGATCTCTTATTTATAGGAGGACTGTAGAAAAAACGTCTGAGAATAGAAGACCTGTTCAGGGCCTTTATGTGAAGAATACCTTTGACAGAAAAGTTACCCATGTCATGTTTGTTTCGAATTTCGTATACAAGGTGAGATGAAAAAACTGCAACCAACTTCAGACTGCTGTCATTTCTAAGCCACTCATCCGACAGCTGTTAAAATTATTCCAGTGACAGCTCATTATATTGTTTACAAGCGTACAAAAGCATTTTGGTGATAATTTTCCAGAAAACAAGTTATTCGTGATGAAATTCAAGCGTGATAGTGTGATTTCTTTATATTTGGCTGGAAAACCTCAAGTGGCTATCGTTAGAGCACTCCAGCATTTAAATGTGAATAAATTTTTTGTCTTGTACCATCGCTCGTTACCGTGATACTGATACTGGTAGCGTAGCCCTACGTCAAGAAAGTGCACGGAAGAAAACAGCAACATCAGCAGGAATGGTTCGAAAAGTAAAGAAGCGACGTGATCGAAACCCGCGTCGCAGTGGCCGAAAAATGGCTCGTGGTGAGCTGAACATATCGAAATATTCCATTCGGCAAAGATTGAAAAATAAGCTCGGGGTAAAGCCATTGAAATTCCAAAAAGTGCAAGAACTTACACCGCATCGGAAAGAAAATAGACTCAAAAGAGCTAAGGAGTTGCTTCGCTTGACCGAAAGTGGCAGCGGAACTGCCGAATTTGGTTTTCTCCGATGAGAAACACTCGTTGTCCAGCAGTTTCTGAACAAACCAAATGATCGTGTTTACTTGCCAAAAAGGTCAGCTGAAAATGTGAACCTTCGGTTGGCCACCAGAACTCCAGCCTAAAGCCGGCCATGGTGATGTTGTGGGACGCCATAACAGCCGGTGGTCGCTCTACGCTCGTATTAATCGACCGTGTCATTAGAATAAATGGAGAATATTATTCGCCACCGTGTCATCAGAATAAATGCCGAATATTATCGCGAAAATATTCTGGAGGGTGTATTGAAG